GTCAATTTTTACTTTACTTAACATAGTTTAAGGTATATATAAATTCAGAACTGTTACATCTTCCAGGTAGATACCTGACTTAAAACCTTTCTTGCCTGATATTAGTATAGCTCTACCTACCGTCTTTTGTTTAGTGATTGCAGAATATATCTTTCTTCTATCCTTTTACTTCAACATTTCTAAATACTTTTATACTTTCTGTATCTTTTCTAAGCAGCATATAGCTAGCTTTTGTTTTTATACCCCCAAAAACCATTAGCTAGTCATTAGAATTATTTAGGCTCTTGTATTTAGTGCAATTGGGATGTTTATTGCCTTACATTTAGTGTAATTATTGACATATTTGGAGATAAATACACTATCTTACTACTTCCTTTATATTCATCCCAACAGTACTTTGTTCCCTTTCCATTGCTTTCTTGTCTTCTAAATCCATTAAGTAGTATTCTCAATTTCCCCTCTATTAACCTGATATACAGTTATTACTTTTAATTTTTACATTACCTAATGATTACAATGGTAATCTTTGTAATGACGCATCTTTATTAATGTCTACTATAAATTAGTTCTTTTATCAATTCCCACATGATATGAGGATGTTAGTACCTTTAAATACCATTTACCCTCCTTCCTGACTTATGTGCTATTATTTTCATACATTTGAATTTTGTTTATATTTAAGTCTCTATTACTATTACAGTCTCATATAATAAATAATCACTTAGGTATACCCTTTTCATTTTTCCCTTACAGTATCTAGAATCATTTTCTTCTACTTCAATAGCATTTCCTATATTTATTTAGTATTTCCTTTACGGCAGGTATGCTGTTGTCAAATTCTCTCAGTTCTTGTTTTAATGAAAAGTCCTATTTTGTTTTCATTTTCTAAGAATATTTTACTGGGTGCAGAATTTTAGGCTGATTATTTCCTTTCAGTCACATGAAGACACCATGTCTTCTAGATTCCATCTTTTCAGTTAATAAATCAGCTGTCTGTCTTAGTGTTGCTCCTTTAAAGGAAATATGCCTTTTTCCCCCTCTGGCTGCTTTATAATCCTTCTCTTCCTGTTTGGGATTTATTCAGTTTTACTGTAACATTTCTAAGTGTTAGTTTATTTGTACTTCTCCTCCTTGGTGCTCATGGGACTTGACCTATTTTGTCACTTTTGAAAATTCTCAGTTATTGAGATTTCAAATAGTGCTATATATTATTTTCTCACTCCTCTTCTTCTGGGCTCTACTTACACTATGTTAGACCAGTTCCACATGTCCCTTACACCGTTTTCCCTCTTCTATTTTTCATTCTTTGTCTTTCTATATTTTGGTATTTCCTTCTGACCTATATTCTATTTCATTAATTCTCTCCTCAGCTGTGTCTAACCTGCTGATAAAATCCTAATTATATTAAAGTTTCTGTCTGAAAACACCATTGTCCTATAGGTATGTTTCTAATGGCTGTTTTTTTTTTTCATAGCTTGTAGTTTTCTAAGCTTTATTACTTTTTTAATTTTGTAGCAGATATTGCATATGATGTACTAAAGAAATAATCTCAGCCTCTGTGTAATAGCATCTTCCTCAAGAGCGATTTTCTTTTGCTTTGTAATCTAGTTAGGCTATGAGGAGATCACCATAATCCTATGAAAGGATGTGATGATTCAAAGGTAGGTTTATCCTAACTAGTAGGTTCAGAACTTCAGGAACCAAACTAAATCTATTAGTGTGTAGCAAAGCCCTTTTCCTCAGCACATTTTGAAATCCAATTTTGGACCTCCTTATTGATTGACAGATGCTCTGCTCAGTTTCTCAGGCAGTTTTCAGGATTTATAATTGTCTCAAGAACAAAAGTTGCACAAAATGCCAATCTTACTTCTCTTTACATTCTAACTCTCCTACATTTTGACCCACAAATTTTCACTTCCTTGATAGTTCTATGATGCCTTAAAAAGATGTAATTCCTAACTTTTCTCAGTGAAAGTAAGTCTAAAATCATCTATTTCACCACTGAAAAAGAATTCCTCCAAACACATGTCTACTAAAACCTCAGCAAAGTAGCCTATTTATTAAACTATATCTACTAAAAATAAAATCAGTTTCAAGGTGGTAAAAATTTTAAATTAGTCTATACAATGGATACATAATAGTGACCTTTTTAAATTACATAACATTTGACAAATAAACCTGATGCATACTGTAATCCACATATAATAGCAAACTTGAAAAAAAATATACTAACGGAAAGCATCAAAATTTAAGAATGCTACAAACTCTAAAGATAACAAAAAAATATAATTTTACTGCTCATAATTTTACTAATATTTTTTTTAAATGCAAAATCCACAAACAATAAGTGTTGGTGAGGGTGTGGCGAAAAAGGAAACCTCATGCACTGTTGGTGGGATTGCAAATTGGTGCAGCCACTATGGAAAACAGTATGGAGGTTCCTCAAAAAATTAAAAATATAACTACCTTAGGATACAGCAATTCCACTTCTAGGTATTTATCCGAAGAAATCCAAAACACCAATTTGAAAAGATATATGCAACCCTATGTTCACTACAGCATTATTTACAACATCCAAGATATGGAATCAACCCTAAGTACCCATCAATAGACAATCAAATAAAGAAGAGGTGGTACATACATACAATGCAATATTACTCAGGCATAAAAAGAAAGAAATCTTACCATTTGCAACAACATGGGTGGACCTAGAGGGTATTATGCTAAGTGAAGTTAAGTCAGACAGAGAAAGACCAATATGCATACCACGTGATTTCACTTATATGTGGAATCTAAAGAACAAATTAAATGAACAAACAAAACAGAAACAGGCTCAGAGATACAGAGAACAAACTGATGGCTGCCAGATGGGAAGGGGATTAGAGGGTTGGGTGAAAAAGGTGAAGGGGTTAAGAAGTACAAATTGGTAGTAACAAAATAGCCACAAGGATGTAAAGTACAGCATAAGGAATATAGTTAATGATACTGTAATAACCTTGTATGGTACCAGGTGAATACCAGACTTATCAAGGTGGATAACTTCATAAACTATATAAATGTCTAACTACTATACTGTACACCTTAAACTAATATAAAACAATACTGAATATTAATTATAATTGAAAAATAAAAATTAATAACAATGCAAAACCCAGAAAAACAGTAAAGCATCATCCATATCTATAACATTTTTAATGAAGTCTTCAAAATAATTTACAATTTATTTTATTAAATTCTCATAAAGGAAAAATAAACAATGTTATTTGTGCAGATGCTAAAATTACCAAGACTGATAATTACATCCTTCTACGCGGAAGTTCACTATGGGAAATTCTGAGGTAGGTAAGCATATAAAATCTGAGGAAATTTCATTCAACTGGTGAGCAACAACTCTCTTGCTTTGATTTTACTCAAATAGTACTCATGTCTCTCTTATCCATTCACTTCTATTAAGATCCTTCCCTGAGCATTGGGAGACTCATTATTGTTACTGTGAACTATGCTGCCTCTTTCATGAAGCAGCAGCTATCTCATTCTGTTCAGTATGAACCAATATCTGTAATATATGCAAAGATGTTAAGCAGATTGATAGCGCCTTAATTACTACAGCACAATTCATCTTGTTATCACAGCAAAAACTCAACAAAAAAAAAGTTAGCGATATTAAAATATAAAACGAAATGCAATGTATAAATTATATAAAACAAAATTGACTCATTAATTTTAATGTTTATAAAAATATAAAGTATAATATTGAATTTTATTGGACTACAAAAATGAAAGTTAACAAAATCACCCAAAGGAGAGGTCTTAATTTTTTTAAATGCCATCATTCTGTCTTCAAATAAAGTAAAAAATATATGTTTGAAAGTGAAAGTAGAACACATCACAATTTGGCAGAAAACTGTATTTCATTTAAATATATATTAGCACTAATAAGTATAATTAATGCATACAGAATAAGTATATCTACAGGATCAGTAATTTCATGCTAAAAGTTTAAATGAATATGTAGTGTCTCAACAAAGGAATCATTTCCCAGGTTTTACAAAGAGAAATGAGTACAACAAAAATTCTATTTTAAAACTCATATACCTAGAACACTTAATAAATATAAAATTAATACTATTTCCAACAAAAAGAGTCTTATGGTTATGAATAGGCAATTCACTAAACAGGAAATACAAGTGGCAAGTGAACAGCAGAAGACACTTCTTCACAATAGTGAACAGTGAACCAGGATACGTGCATGAATATATCGGTATAATTTACATCCACTGAGTTGGCAAAAGGAAAATATCCTCCCCATTACCAAGTGTTTGTGGGAATATGAAGAAACAGAGACACTCATACCTGGCTGGTGGAAGTATATATTACATCGGTGACTTGAAGAGCAATTAGGCAACATGTAGCAAAGTTGAGGATGTGAATATTCTCAGACACAGCAATTTCATTTTTAAGTACATACCATCCAGAAACTCTAGCATGTGTGCATGAGAAGACCATATAAGATGTACAAAGTAGCATTTTTAAACAACTAAAAAGGAAAATCTACCAAAATGCCATAAGTTTTGTATTTCACAGGAAATGAGATGAAACTAAAGAAATGCTTTTAAATTTTACAAATGACAATAAAACAAGAGTGCAAAAAAAGAAGGAATCCCAAGCCATATAATAACAAAGTTAAAAGTTATTTTAGTAAGCAAAATTGCTTGTCTGAGTTAAATGTAATATAGACACTGGTAAGTACAACTAATGTAAATAAGTATATCTACAGGATCAGAAACCATTTTAAAGTCAATCATCTGCATTAATGATAGCTACATACAAAATGTATTTTTTTGTGCCTTTGCTACATAATGTAATATCATTAGTTGAAATAAATATGGGGAAAGGCCAAGAATGTCTCCCTGAAAATATTTAATAAACACCACTATTATACAAACATAAAATACCACAGTGACAAATTTTCTCATCATACTTCAGCCTAACGTACTCACCAAGTCTTAGTGTTAACTTCGTACTTATAAAGATCATCAACCAATCCGTATTTGTTGCCTGGCAGTGCTTTATAGCCTCCATGAACATAAATGGACTTTGTTATTTCGTCATACACACTGGTATGACCATATCCGCCTTGGACAATAGCTCCTTTAGTTTCTGGAACAAGCCAAGTGTTTGATGCTGCAAGAGAAAGAAGATAAACCGTGAACTTCAATTAGTAGTTAAAAATATAACTAATACATCACTGAACTACCAACAACTTAATTCTAACACCACATTTTTATGAGTAAATAAAGTATACCTAATATTCATTTAATCAAGAAACTATTATTAATTATGTGCTAGGTAGTATGTTAGATGGTAGAGGTTGAGTTGAGTAAGACTTGTCTTTCTGCAGATTAAATTAAACTGTGAAATATTGAAACTGCTCATTTTTTGTGCATGCACGAGAAAACAGAAAATTTTATTCCCACATACATTTCTGTATTTGTAAGTAACCGGAAAAAGTTGTTAACAAATAACTTATGAGAATCCACTGTGTGACAGGCTCTGAGTTAGCCACAGATATTATAAAGATACAAAAGATATGATCTTTGTCCTTCACAATTTTTTGCACATACTGATCCTGTATCTCTTCAGACAGAAATGAAATGAAAAAGAAGGAATCTTGGACCATCAGAAAAGAACAGAGCAGAAATATGAGTAAACAAAATAGACTATCCTCCTCTGAGGTTTATAAATCATATTTGTTAAAGGAAACAAAAGTTATAACATCATCTGATACTCAAGACAATGAAATTAAAAAGTAGGGACAAAGAAGGGATGTAAATGAAAGCAAGGTTTCCACACTTCACTTGAAGTTTTAAAATGTTGATACTCAGAAATTGTGATAATCCACATATATATGTTTTCATATCCAGAGCAACCTCTAAGAAAACTATACAAAGAGATACACTCAAGAATACTATAACTATCGGGTCATCAGGAAAGTCATGACGTATTTTTCTATGGTTTTCAATGCAAAAATGTGTCATGGCTTTCCCACAACGACCCAATAAATCAAGATGAAATTCTAAAAACTGTTCAAGTAACCCACAAGAGATAAAGGGAAACAGTTACAAAAAACAAAAACAAAAAAACAGAAAACAAAGAAAACATCAGACTTAGGCACTAACATATGAAAATTAACTTAAATGTAAATCTTGCATTTATATAACACTTTGAAAATGATAAAATTATAGAAATGGAGAACTGATTGGTGATTTTCAAGGGTGAGGGATGAGAGGGGTGAAGGTAGAGGGAGGTGGGTGTGGCTTAAAAAGGCAATGTGAAAGATGCTGTGGTGATAGGACTATTTTGTATCTTGATTCCTGGTAGATACATAAAACAACATATCATAAAATTGCACAGAACTAAATACATACACACGTACACACAAATGAGTACAAATGAAACTGGAACTCTGAATAAAATCAATGGATGGAATCAATGACAATATCCAGATTGCGATATTGTACTATATTTTTACAAGATGTTGCCTCCAAGGAAAACTGTATAAAGGGTACACAGGATCATGTGTTATTTCTTACAAGTGTTTGTGAATTGACAAATATCTCAAAATTGAAAGTTTAATTTTAAAAAGATACATTCACCTTACTTGTAATGAGCAATTCATCATGAAATACAGTACTTCACTCAACTCTTTGCAAACATCTTTAAAAAATTAAAAGTATAAGAGTTATGACACAGGTCTAACACCAAAGTGTGTGTATTCTTAAATACTACAGCAGTTATTTCTCAAGGTTTAGTCATGTGCAATTCAGTCAAGGAAACCACAGGTGATATGGTAGTTTCACATGAAAAATTATGAAAATAATTTTGTTAACAATACAGGTGACAGTGAATTTTATCAAACATTCAAAAAAGAATTGTCACCTATGCTCCTCAAACTATTTGAAAAAATCCAGAAGGAGGGAAGGCTCCCAAGCTCATTTTACAAGGCCACTATCACCCTGATCCCAAAACCAGACAAAGACATTACAAGAAAAGAAAACTATAGGTCAATATCCCTAATGAACACAGACGCAAAAATCCTTAATTAGCAAACAGAATTCAGCAATAAAGAAGATCATACACCATGATCAAGCGGGGTTCATCCTTAGTATGCAAGGTTGGTTCAATATGCTTAAATCAATTAATGTGATACACCATATTACCAAAATGAAAAATAAAAATCATATGGTCATATCAATAGATGCAAAAAAATCCTTTGACAAAATCCAGCATCCATTTATGATAAAAACTCTTAGCAAAGTGGGAATAGAGGGATTATACCTCAACATAATAAAGGTCATATATGATAAACCCACATCCAACATCATACTGAATGGGGAAAACAAAGTATTCCCCTTAAGATCAGGAACAAGACAAGAATGCCCACTTTTATTCAATATAGTACTGGAAGTTCTAGCCACAGCAATAAGACAAGAAAAAGAAATAAAAGGCATCCAAATTGGAAAAGAGGAGGTAAAGTTGTCATTATATGAAGATGACATGATACTATATAGAGAGAGCCCAAAAAATTCCACCAAAAAAACTATTAGAACTGATAAATGAATTTAGTAAAGTGGCAGGATACAAAATTAATATCCAGTAATCAGTTGCATTCGTATACACCAATAAAAATCTATCAGAAGGAGAAATTAAGAAAACAATCTCATTTACAATTATTTCAAAAACAATAAAAGACTTAGGAATAAATTTAACCAAGGAAATAAAAGACCTGTACTCAGAAAATTCTAAGACATTGAAGAGAGAAATTAAAGAAGATACAAACAAATGGAAACTATACTACACTCATGGATAGGAATAATTAATATAGTTAAAATGTCCATACTACATAAAGCAATATATAGATTCAATACAATCCCTATCAAACTATCAATGACATTTTTCACAGAACTAGAATGAATAACCCTAAAATTTATATGGCACCATAAAAGACCCTGAATAGCCACAGCAATCTTGAGAAATAAGAACAAAGTGGGGGGTATCGCGCTACCTGACATCAAATCATACTACAAGGCTAGAGTAATCAAACCAGCATGGTATTGCCATAAAAACAGACATAGATCAATGGAACAGAATAGAGAGCCCAGAAATAAATCCATCTGCATATGATCATTTAATCTATGACAATGGAAGCAAGAATTTACACTGGGTAAAGACAGTCTATTTAATAAATGGTGCTGGGAAAACTGGACAGATACATGCAAAAAAGATGAAACTGGACCACCTACTTATGCTATATACAAGAATAAATTCAAAATTGGATAAAGACTTAAATGTAAGACCTGAAACCATAAAACCCCTAGAAGAAAATATAGAAAGTAAACTCACAGATTACCCTTAGTAATATTTTACTGATATATCTATCCCCTCAGGCAAGGGAAACAAAAGAAAACATAAACATGTGGGATTACATCAAACTAAAGATTTTTTTCACAGCAAAGGAAAGCATTAATAAAACAAAAAGGCATCGTACTGGATGGGAGAAAGTATTTGCCAATGATACATCTGATAAAGGGGTTAATATCCAAAATTTATTAAAAACTCGTACAACTCAACACCAAAACAACAAAAAACCCAATTTAAAAAATGGGCAGAGGACATGAACAGGCATTTCACTAAAGAGGACATACAAATGGCCAATAGACATATAAAAAAATACTCAACATCACTAATCATTAGAGAAATTCAAATGAAAACCACAATGAGATACCACCTCATTCCTGTCAGAATGGCCATTATTAATAAATCAACAAACAACAGGAGTTGTCCCGGGAGTGGAGAAAAGGGAACCTTTGTGCACTGTTGGCGAGACTGTGATTGGTGCAGCCACTATGGAAAACAGTATGGAGGTATCTCAAAAAATTGAAAATAGAACTACCTTATGACCCAGCAACTCCACTCTTGGGTATCTAGCCAAAGGAATCCAAAACATTAATTCAAAAATAAAAAAAATATGCACCCCTATGTTTACTGCAATAGCCAAGATATAGAAACAACCGAACTGACCATCAATAGACAACTGGATGAAGAAACCGTGGTACATTTATACAATGGAGTATTACTTTGCCATAAATAATGAAATCTTACCATTTGCAACATGGTTGGATCTAGAGAATATTATGCTAAGTGAAATAAGTCAAACTGAGAAATACAAATACCATATGATCTCACTGATATGTGGAATCTAAAGATCTGAATAAATGAGCAAACTAATCAGAAATAGACTCAAAGATACAGAGAAAAAACTGATGGTTTCTAGATGGGAGAGGGTGGGGATAAGGGAGAAGGTGAAGGGATTAGAAAGTGCAAATTAGTAGTCACAATATAGTCACAGAGATATGAGATACAATATGGGGAATATAATCACTAATGTTGTAAAGATTATGTAGGGTGCCAGACAGCCACAGGACTTATCAGGGAGATCACTTCATAGACTATGTAGGTGCCTGACCACTGTGCTACACACCTGAAGCTGAAGTAGAATACTGACTGTCAACTATAATTAAACACACACACACACACATACACACACACACACGCACGCGCGCAGTCTGACAACTAAGTTTGCAAACTTGCCACCACCAAAGCGCTTACTTTGCTAGCACTGTACAAACAGCTCAGTAAGCTTTCATAACCTGGGTTTATCAGTATCTCACAGCTGTCTTTGTGTCGACATGTGGCAGTGTCTTGCTGAGTGGCATTCATTATTGTTGCATGTTTTTGTGTGCTGTTGCGAGAATGTCTGAGCTTGAATTAGAGCAACGAAAAAACATTAAATTTCTTGTTAAACTTGGCAAGAGTGGAAGTGAAATCAGGGACATGTCAGTCCAAGTTTATGGGGATAATGCCATGAAGAAAACGGCAGTGTACAAATGGATTAAATGTTTTTCTGAGGGGAGAGAAGGCATCACTGATGAAGAGAGGTCAGGGCGGCCAGTAACAAGTACAATTGATGGAAAATTTGTCAAATTGTGTGTCAATATCGTCAGCTGACTGTGAGAAGCATAACAGGCCAAGTCGACATCGATGGAGAAACAGTCAGGAAAATCTTAACTGAAAATCTTGGCCTGAGAAAGGTCTGTGCAAAAAGGGTTCTGAAAGCAGCTGAC